GGATGGCAAAGTCCTCCAGGATGGCTTCTACATTGGGCACCATCATGAGCTCCCCAACCTGAGACACCACCATGCGACCCTTTGTGTTGGAGGCCTGGGGGAATCAGAGAAATGTGGATTGAGGTCACAAAGGCACATCCAGGAACACACGTGCTTCCCACCTGACACAGGGTCACTCCTGGAGCAGGCCACACCCAGACATGCATGCCCACACAAAACCACATGTTCACACTCAGGAACAGATGGCTGTCACCAGCCAGCACACCTTGAAAGGCTGAGGCTGGAAGCTGGAAGGCTTCCAGAGGACACCGATCACCTCTCCCCCGTGCTGGTCATAAAAGAAAAGGGCCAGGTCCCCGAAGGCCTCCTAAGAAAGGGCAGGACAGAGACAAGATTACAGGTGGGCACCTGAGAGCCACTTCCATGGCCCCAGCTCCCCCTGGAAGTCCCCTCCCCAGAGTCAGTCAGCCCTTTAGGACCTACCCTGAGCTGTGCCAGATAGAGCTGAGGAGGATCGTAGCCCAGCACGGGCATCAGGGATGAGGACCCTGGCTCACTGAGCAGGCCACGGCAGAAGGAGGCAGCTGGAGAGTCCACACCCTGGCGGTGCCGGGGGATGTGGCGGGGAGACAGGCGGATCAGCACATCATACATGTCCAAGGGTGGCCGGAACACTGTCTGAGGAAGGGTAGGGAGGGGTCAGCACTGCCCACTTGGGAGTTGGAAGCTGGATTACAAACCCCTCCACATGCCCACCATGGCTCCCTCCTTCCCCTTTGTCTGACCCCCCATTATGGGCCTGAATGCTCATTTGAAGGTGGGAACACCAAGACCCAGCTGGTGCCAGCTTGGGTCCAGCAGGAAGAGCACAGGCAAGAAGCACGAGGCCTAGATGGAGCTAGGGCCTGGTTCTCCTCCAGGCTGCACCACTGCCAGGCACTGTGAGCAGTTTCAATGCCTTCTCTGGATTCAGTCTCACCAAATAAGCGGACTAAGCATCCCGTGAGGGCCCCTAGAGCTCCGGGCTGCCATGGTTTAAAGGCAGAATGCCCAGAGCCCCTGGAGTCAGTCTTGGTAAGGGGCTTACCCTGATGTCCCCCGGACCCCGGGGATCCATTAACTGTTTCTCTAGGACAGGCAAGGCCTCAGCTGCCAGGACTACGAGCCGCTGTAGGATCTGGGGGGTACACACACATCAGATAGGTCAGACCCGACCACAGGTCTCTCTCAGGTCAGGCTGGGCCTGTTTTTGCCTTGGGGGAGAAAACCACACATTTAGGGTCAGAGATGGGATTGAACCTGGGGCGAGGGTCCATCCTGCGTCCATACAGAGCTTTTGCGATCCTGGGGGGTAAAGATGACCATGACCGGGAGTTGTAACCGAGTTGCCAGGAAGCCACTGCGGATCTCCACCTGCTCCTCCACTGTGGACAAAAGGGGTCCTGGGTCAGCCTGCCCTCTCCCCCGGACAACCTCTACTCCCCAGGTCCTCCTACTGTACACCCAGCAGCTGCCCATCACAGGGATTTTCTAACACCCCTCCCCCAAGTGGCAAAAGCAATGAAAAGGACACTGCATTTACCTCAATCGGGTGGGGCGTTAAACTCCCAGCCTCAGCCAGAGGCAGAATTTTCCACCGCCTGGCACCCCAGTCTAGTTTCCGGGCCAGCACAAGCTGAGGCCTGCCCCTGGCCCCCTCCCACCCTATGCTCCCACACACCTGGGGAATTAGGAAGCTGACACCCTCGTCTCTGCTGGGACCAGGAGCTCCTCATATTACAACAGAGATCATCACCCCCAACCCCAAGAGTTCTGGGCATCTACCCTAATCTGGCCCCTTCCCTGTTCCTCACCACAAGACTTCCCACCTGGTGTTCAGAGTCCCCCTTTCATTCTCCTCTCCCCTTCCCAGCCTCCCAGGTAGCCTGCTGACCCTCCCCAGTCCATTGCGTTTCTGATCATCACGTGGGCAAACCACATCTCTACAGCCTCAGAGCTCCCTGAAGACTTGATGTGGGTCTCTTCCTCCTAATAATTCTCTACCCCAAGGCAGTCGGGGTCAGGGATAGATATCTGGGAAGGGGCAGGACAGGGAAAACCCTTGCCTGCCCTACTCTGCAATCCAGAAGGGTAGTTCTTCTGGCTGTCTGACCCCAGTCCTCCCACTTACCAGTGAGCTCATTGTTGAGGTTGATGATAAGGGGGTTGTTTTTCCAATCAAAGGTTGATACCAGGAAAAGAAACCGAAGGAAGCCCACCTGGGGAGAGCTGAGGGGAAGGAGTGAGCAAACAGCCTGGGGTCCAGCTACACACTCCCAGGCTGCCCCAGTCTCGGAAGCCTAGACCCCTTGGCATGGATTGGGGGGGTGTCTTAGAACCCCTTCTGTCTCTTGCTTCAGCTACCCTCTCCCATTTGACTGAAGGTACAGCATGAGGGATGAAAGCTGGCCCCAGGGGAACCTCATGGATGGGTAGAAGGTGGATGGAATCACCTGGGAGGAGTGAAGGGCTCAGGGTGCAGGAAAAGGGCAGCAGCCACCAAGTCCAGGCTCTCATCGGTGAGCCCCTCACCCAGAAGCTGGGCGCGCACCCACCGCTTGGCCAGCCGAGCCACACCCGAGAAGGCTGGGTGCTGCTGTTGGAGTCTGTGGGGGAAGAGGGCAGTGACAATGAGACTCACCCACTCAAGGCCCAGGAACAGTGTTTCAGCCCTACCGCTGCTATGTATTCAACCTCTACCCAACGCTGGCCCCGTGCTAACGCATTACGTCCTCCTAACTAATGCCCCAAGAGGTTGGTTCCAGCATTATTCCCATTTTACAGATGAGAAAAACAAGGTGCAGGGGGGAATCCTGCCCAAAGGGATATAGGCAATGAAGTGGCAGGACCAGGATTCTAGAACTTGCCTGACTCCAGAAGTCATATCCCTAGCTATTACACTATCTGGCCTCCCAGAGAGACAGGTGGCCAGGAGAGCAGAATGGGGCAGGAAAGGATCTATAGATAGAAGAGCCTGTGCAGGTGACCATACCCATGCAAGGCACTGGTGAGCAGGGGCAACTGCCTCGTGTCCCTCTCGAGGCGGAGGGAGGCGCGCGTGTCCCTCAGTGAGATCATCCCCTCGGGGCTCCGCGTCTCCTTCAGGATCTGGGGCTCCCGCTGATAGGCCACACGAATCCGGAACACGAACCCATCCTGTTGGAAGACGGTATGGGATGGGGGATACACGTTGGCCTGAGGCACCCTGACACCCTTGTGCCCTCCCTCCCGGGGGGTATCCCTGCCCTAACCTTGAAGACATCAGTGTGCGTGGCCGTGGCACGGCACCGCAGCCCATGCTGTTGTGTCAGCAGCTCTGCCAGGCGCAGCTGGAAGGCAGCTCGGACCCGCCGTATGGCCTCAGCATCCTGTGGCCACTGACCACTGCCCTCCAGGTGACATACCACTGGGGAGAAGAGTGAGAGGTCTCAGACTGTGGCCTGGGGTGGAACAGCCCCCTTTGCCCCCTCCCAGGAGCCCCCTCACCAGTCATGGGTTCCACATAGGCTGGACAGGGCTTGTCGGGCCGGGGCAAGAGTGAGGCCCGCTCTCGCAGGTGCTCATAGAAGGAGTAGGCTGGCTTGACTGGGGCTGGTGGGAACACCTACAGAGAAAGGGGGGCTGAGGAAGGGCCTGGGACTGTGAGGGAGTGCCCAGAGTCAGGAGGTGGGAGGAAGAATACTGGGTGAGTGGAGCAGAATAAGTGGGGGCCACCAAGCAGAGAGGGCTCTCTGCTCCTTGCACCTCACCTCAGTGTAGCGCAGCACTGGGTGAGCTCCCTGGACAGCAGACACAGTCAGCGGGAGGCCTTCCAGCCCCCACAGCTGGCGGCTGAGGTCATCGTAGCAACGCACCACAGCTGCCAGGGCCTCCTCACCTGTGCTGGAGGTCTGAGAGGGAGAAGCCAGTCAGGAGGCCAGGACCCTATAGAACCCCATGAACACCTGGGATTCTGCCCTGGCTCAGGCTGCTGCAGAGACCGCGCCCCCTCTGCTGGACACTCCAGGAAGCGCAGCCTGGCTGAGATGGGAAGGGCTCTCCACGACCCCACAGAATCTGGCCACACAGGCTACTCTATAGTCCCTGCCTTGACCCCAGCCCTGAACCACGGCACTTACCTCTTTCAGGCCTTGGATCAGTGCTTCCAGGAGGCCTCCCATATAGTGGACACAGGTATCTGGGATGTCAGCATGGCTGGAAAAGGTGCACAGACAGTGTGGGCCTTGGGGGCTATGAAGGGCACTATTGGACGTGAGCTGCTCACCTCAAAAGCCTGGGCCAGACCCTTCTAAAAGGCTCCCTAGCCCACGGCTGCCTCCTGGCATTCAGATGCTAACACTCACAGTGCCAAGAGGTGGGTGACCACCTGGTGGGGAATAAGGCGCTTCTGGGCCATAGAGGCTGCCTCCCAGACCACAGCTTCCCGAATGGCTCCATCCTGGAAACGCCGAAGCTCCGAGCGAGATCCCCAGAACCGGCGGAAGTCAGCAGCCTGGGGAGAGGAAAGTGGTGGTGGTGGGAGAGATCAACAAAAGAAGGCTCTGTAAGAAATCTCCCCGACAGGCCTCAATCCAGGTGGCATGAGGACAATCCACCCCCTCCTTCCAAGGCACAGGCTGGGCTTCCCAAGACAGGGCCAAATCACCCCCCAGGCCCCAGGGTTCCTCACCTCGGGCTGGTCGGCCTCTGGACCCAGCTCGAGGACACTGGTCAGCCCCTCAGGCCGGAGGAGCAATCCCAGGGTCAGGGTCCCAGAGTCTCTGTGCTTCGGTGGATCCTGGCTGATGTCCCACTGTAGGGTGTAGAAAAGGCCGAGCTCAACCAAAGAATCTCCCCTCTTAGTCTGGAAACCCACTTTCTAGCTAGAGGGATGGTGTGCCTTTTGTATCCCCTGGGACCCTGGATCCAACCCCCTCAGAACCACACTGCCTCACCTCTGAGACTGGGGGCCGAGAGTGGGCCAGCAGGTGCAGCCGGGACCCCAGGCCCTGCTCCAGGAGGGTGGTTAGCGGGCCCAAAGTAGCTGAGACATAGTCCCCACCATGGTCCTGCAGCTCTGGCCACAGCTTCAGCCGGTGACATGCTGCCTGCAGCCGACTCAGTGGATGGAGACTGGGGGCACACAGAGGGACAAGGAGGGGAAATCAGGTACTGCTGGCCCCAAGTATCACCCCCCACCAACCAGGAAGATCTGAGCACCTGCCTGAGCACCTCTGCCCCATCACTGCAACCCTAGAGAGACAAGACCCACTGACATACCCTGTCATCCCTAAACTTACTGCAGGACGTGGTCAAAAGCCCGAATCATGGGCTTAGGAGTCATCAACAGCAGCTGGAATCCGTCGTCAGCTTTGCTGTCCAGCAACACCATAGACAGCCGTGCCTCGTGCTGCACCTGGGCCACAATGTAAGGAGGAAACTCAGATGGGGGACCACCACCACTGCAGCCTCCCTTCGTCAACCTGCAGGCTCAGACCAAGAGACATGCCTGACCTAAGCTCTTTGGAGAGGACTTTCTGGGGTTCCGGTGCTGACAGAAGGGACAGAGTCTAGGCTGGGCCACCTGGGGAACTGAGGAGTGGGGGACTATTGGTACCTGGTGGTAAGTGGAAGCAGTGACATCCGCACAGAGGTTGAGACGGCCTGAGGAGTCCAGGAAGACGACAGGGAAGGCCTGGTGGAAGTCAGCCAGGGCCGGCTTGCAGGGGTAGAGAGAAGCAGTCAGCGTTGGGGCCTTACCTTCAAGCCTCCTTGCCCAGACTCAGCCCTGCCCCACTCACCAAGGAGGGGTCTGAGCTGAGACATAAACTGATCCCATTGACGGTCAGATCTGTGGTGGCTGAAGTGAACCAGAGAAGGTGGGTATGTCAGAAGGTGTCCCCCTCCCTGGGGACCCAGCCCTAATGATACCTCCCTCCGCAAGGTGGCTATAACTGCCTGCCTCCAGGATTCAGTTTGCTCATCTGTCTGACGGCAAGAAATCGAACAATCCCCGATGGGATTGGATGGAGAGGATTCTTAGGGTGAGTGAAACCCTTGACCTTTTCGAGTCTAGCCACCTCACCCAGAAACTGCAAGATGCTCCTCAGGACCTGGTAGCCGCTCATGGTGGTGTGGATCTTGCGTGTGGACACAAGGAAGGCAACCAGCATGGAGACAAGGAACCCACTGAACCCTCCCAGGCCCTGAAAGAGAGATGGAGGAAGAGACCTGAGCTTAGAGCCAGCTCACCACTGAGTGAGGCAGGGAAGCTGGGTCACTCCCAACTCACCTTGTCCAGTTCCCGCTGCCGCAGCCAGACCTTCAGAAGTGCCACACCATCCTTCAGCCCCAAGGTGGAGCCCAGCACAGTTGACAGCAGCTGCACATGGGACTCGAGGGCTGTGTCCTGCAGGACCCATGTGTTATAGTGGGGGGTGGGGGGCTCTGGGCTACCTGTGGGAGGAAAAGGGAAGCCATGATAGGAGAAGTCCCCACAACAACCTTCCCTGAAGCTCCCCCTTGACACCAATGCCTGCTCACCACTCCCTGGAGGACTCTGCCCTCGGTACCAGGCAGAGCGCACATTGTTCTTGGATGGCAGCAGACGGCAAGGGCGGAAGAAGTCAGGTGGAGGGCATGGATGCAGACGTACAGTGACCAGGCGCTCATCCTTCCCTGGGGAGACAGGGGGTGCTGAGACCCTGCAGCCCCCTGGAGCCAGAGGGGTCCCTGCACTACCCCCTCCTGCTTGAGGGCCCATGCCCTCTCACCTCAGAATCTGAGGTCCCTATACCTTCCCCCTCAAACTTGAGGCCCAAGCCTCTCACCTTGGACTTGAGGACCCTGTGCCTCCCCACCAGATCTATCACCCCATACTGTGCCCTCAGCCCGGTGTGTGCCTCCCACCATGTGGCCGTAGCAGCAGCGAGGGTTTCAGGTGGCAGCCATTGGTGTAGGAGAAGCGAACACTGCTGAAGAGGGGGTCTGGGGCCAGGTGGTGAGCCAAGTGGGCCAGGTAGAGGGCACGCTTGCGGAAGTATCGCTGGTTCAGCCCATCCTTGTCCTGTAGGATCTCCTGGAGGGATCAAGAGAAGAGAGAGGTGGCTAGAGACTTAAGTGCTTGTTGTTGGAGAGCTTAGGAGCTACGATGAGGCCAAGGTGAGAGTCACAGCTTAGCAACCCCAGGGATTCTCCGCTGGCCAGAAGGCCTGAGCTAGGGCTAGCAACACCATACCCAGTTCTCAGGTGAGGCAGGCAAGCTTCCAAGGGGGCAGCAACTGGCCCACGGGCACATCTAAGCTGCCCTCAGGACGACTGTAGTAATCTGCTCTTTTGATTTAAAATTCAGATTTCAATCTCCTGGCAAGTGGCAGGTGGGAAACAAAGAGGGACCCGGGGATTTGTAAGTGGTGAAGTGGCAGGCCTCTCTATCCCTTAAACTCTGAACCTCACCCTGGGCATGGTCAGTGCCACATCCACATTGATGTCCGGCCGGATGCAGGTGCCCAGAAGGTAGCTGCCCACAACAGTGACCCGGGCTGGGGGCAGGAAACGGAAACGGCCCTTCACAGCATAGGGCACTTGGTGGAGGGGGACTTGAACCCCAGCCGGGAGCCACACCTGGTCAGTGAGCTGTGGGGACAGAAATAGTGATACATATTGGTTTGACTGCCTTCCTAACATGTCCCCTTGATGTCTAGCAGATATCTCAATTTCAACACATGAACATGTTTGAAACGAAACTCCTGATCTTCCCATAAACGTGTCTTCCCATCGAGTCCCCGTAGCAACTCCATGTTAGTTGCTCAAGCCAAAAACATTTAAATCACCTTGATTCATCTCTGTTCAGAACACGCTTCTCACTTTCAAAAGGCATCCAGACACTGACCGCTTCTCTACTTCTGTACCCTAGTCCGAGCCACCAGCATTTTTCAGTGGATCACTGCACAATAGGTTCTTTTTTGTTTGTTTGTTTGTTAATTTTATTTATTTATTTTTTCCCCCAAAGCCCCAGTAGACAGTTGTATGTCATAGCTGCACATCCTTCCAGCTGCGGCACGTGGGACGCGGCCCCAGCATGGCCAGACAAGCAGTGCGTCGGTGTGCGCCCGGGATCCAAACCCGGGCCGGCAGCTGCGGAGCGCATGCACTCCACCGCCAAGCCACGAGGCCAGCCCATGCACAATAGGTTCTTAACTAGTCTCCTTGATTTCACCTTTGTCCCCCTCTGTCTTACTTTCAACAGAACAGCCTGAGTGAACTTTTTAAAACTGAAGTTAGATCATATCACTGCTCTACACAAAAAATCCTGCAGTGGCTCCCCATTTCACCCAGAGCAACAGCCAAAGTTGTCATTTTGATGCACAAGGCCCTGCTTGCAATGCCCCCTTCCTACATGACCTTTCTGAACTCATCTCCTTCTATTGTCCCCTCACTCATTCCAAGGAATGTACCAGACCTACTCCTGCCTTTGAGCCCTTGTGTTGGTGGCTTCCCCTTACTGCAATTCTCTTCCTGCCTTAGATATCTATATGGCTGACTCGTTTCCTTCAAACCTTCACACAAATGTCACTTCAATGAGGCCGACCTAACCAACCTATTTAAAACTGCAAACCACTCCCATTGCCTGACAGTCCCGCAATCCCCTTACCTAGGCCTACTTTTTCCTTTTTCCATAGTGCTTACTCCCTTCTAACACTGTCATATGGTTTCCTTGTCATGTTTATTATCTACAGTCCATAACCCCAACAGTAGAACACAGGCTGCTTTATTCACTGATGCATCCTAAGAACACAATTATCGCAAGGTGCACAAGTGTTTGCTGAATGAATGAACATGTGAGTGACTGCATTCCCAGCTGAACCTCTTGGCAGTGAGAATGAGCTCCTCAGCACCCCAAACCCTCCAGAGAATAGCAAGGCCCCTGTTTCAGATGCCCCCACTGAGGACTTCTGGGCTTTCCAGTTCTCCACATCACCTGCCTTACCTCAGTCTCAGGGGTTGAGGGCACCCTCATGATCCGCTGGTTGACCTCCCGTAGGAAAGCATCGATCCGCTCCTTCTTCTTCTCTGACAGCCTCACTTCCTTTAGCAGCTCCTCTACCTGTAAGGGGAGGGGGAGAGTCCTTCAGCCTCAGGGTCCCAGGCCTGCCACTCTAACTCAAGCCCCAGCTACCCAACAGTACCTGTAAACGAAGCAAGCTGGAGTGGAACAGGCTCTCGGTCTCCCGAAGGCGATTCAGCTCCTCATTGGTAGGCTCCTTGTACAGTTCTGCCCGGCTGAGCTTCACCGGCTGCCAGAGACCCTCCCCTGGAGATCCAGCCACTGTATGCTTCTTTGAGGATTCCTTCTTCCCCTCCTTGCCTGTACCTTCCAGAGCTGGCTCCATCACCTGTGGCCAAGGAGGGGAAGAAGCCAGTGTGAAGTCATCGATGTCTAGCATCCACTACCTGAAGCGCCACCATGATAAGGCGTGGGTAAAAACTTCACCTGCTCCTGGTCCCTCTTTTGAATGGGAGTCAGATTGTGTAAAACTCAGGATAATCATTACTTAGAAGAACATTACCGAGCTCTAGACTGAAAACTCCTGGAGCTGAGGGCTCCCTGTCTACCTGTAGCACAAGCATGGAGCTCTGCTTCGAGATGGTAGGGGTAGTAGCTGATTTGCAGCAATGCCTGAGCTCCTTGCATTTCCAGGTACCATGCAGCAGGGAGCTTCCTCTGCTGCTGCATGAGTCCTGGGACTTCACAAATGCCATTTCCACTCTTGACCTATCCAAATCCTGCTAGGTTCCACTTCCCCTAGCAAGCCCTTACTATAGACTGTATCAGTATACACTAGGTGCTCAATGATGGAAAGAGCTAGAACCTACTGGCTGTGGAGGATATACTCAGTAAGTCATTCAATTCTCACAATAACCCTAACAGAAAATGGACACTTGAAGGAAGCCCTGTGAAACCGAGGTTCCAGTTAGTATGCCTATA